TGCAAACCGATTATTTTGTAATGCTTTCACTTGTATCAAATAAATTGTAGTCATACTGTTTGTTCTTCTATGGAGAATTTTTTACTTCAGCAACTTCCAAATCAGCTGCTAAATTTTATTTGTAAATAAAGAAAATTAAAAAGTAAATTAGGTTTTACATCACAGATTTAAGAAATTTAGCAAAAATCTAAAAATATAAAAAAGTGGAATAAAAGTATGATGAGAAAACAGTTGACAACAAGCATGCATCATCAGCACATCACAGGTCGCTCTTTTCAAATACGTTATTGAATCAGAAGAGTTTCGAGGTTAAGGCTTTTAAATAAACAGATTTTTACAGACTAAGTCAGTAACTAAGCTATGCTATAACAAAGGCGATCTCAAACCAATTTCCTTACGCTTGTATTTTTTTCCTGAAAATTTCGTGTTTTATTGATGCAGGCCTCTTGTGGCATAAGTGTTTGCAGAAAACAGTAGTTTTTTTTTTTTGCTTTTATTTCAGGCCTATGAAGATGCTCAGTTGGAACGGCTGATGTAGTATTAACTGAAGCGTATCTTCACTGATGCTGTCGAGAAACTTTTGCTTGTACTAATCAAACAATTGATACTGACTCTTTGATCATTATGTTCATCGTCCACACTACAAACTTCATAATATTTTTATCTATGGTACCCAAAGGTTAGTTGGTGCAAAAAAGTGTTATTAAGCATTACTGCTTCTCAACTCTTGCATTTTGAGTCTTACAAGAATCGACCAGAAACTATATTGAAACTGTAAATCGGTTTGAGTAGACTTCTTCAATTAGTTTTTGCTATTGCCGTCAGTGGTTGTACCACGTTGCCTTTTTTTTTAAAGTATTCAGCAGCACGCTATTTCTTAATAGAGTTCTTAAGATTTAATTTTCTTCGCGTTACATCTAACTGTTCAGCCTTAAAATCGCATTGATGTCACTGTTTACCAAAAACAACGATTTCCGTCTTTTGAGGCAGTTTTTAATCCGAAAAAAAAGGAAAAACAAAAAGCAATGAATCTATAGATTCAGTAAATTGAGGTTTATAAAATACAAAAAAATCCAAACATTGTTCAAGGGTCAAAGTGATTTATTGATGACTTAGAAGTGCTAGAAATCAATGAACAATTCTTTTCTAGAAGAATGAAAATTCGTTAATGAAAACGGAAGAAGGTTTGAAGTCGCGGAATAGAGGAATTCCTTTATCTTACAACTAATCAGATTTTTTTGTTGTTTGAAGCTCTTTTCTTCTTTCTCACTTTTTTTTTCTATTTACTTTCTCCGCCTTCTTTTTATTACTATGAGAATAAACACTTTTTTTTATTTT